CAAAATAAGTTAAGAGCCATAGATTTCCGTTTAAACTGTATTTCCAGACTGACTAGTAATTCAATTATTTAGTTGCCTCCCCGCGTATATATCAAAGTATCAAAGAAAGCTTAAAACTATTATTAGGTAGGGTAGCTATAATCTATATAAAATAAAACAATAATAACCGGCACTCGTCAGCATGATGGTAATAAAAAAAAGCAAATGGCCGATCCTTTCGGTTTTCAAACTAAATCCAGCAAAATGTTAATTATCCCAAGTTTACCACACAATAAACACATATAAAAGACAAGATAATTATGGAAATCTACTCATAGTATCTTATTTATCGGCACACACTACCACATTGAACTCGATAAACCAAAAGACCGGTTGATTCAACACGAGTCGGTTATATCACGGCGTGGTTACCCAAAGAAACACTAGGTATGTGCGCAAACCGTACTTAAATCTCGAGAAGGAAGCGAGCGGTTGTCGTTTAAGTTGGTTACGAAGGGTTATGGAGAAGTTGTTAAAAATTAATTTCACGTAATAAACTATTGACGAGCTTTAAAAAAAATTGAAAATGGTTAGTTAGTATTTTTTCCCAACCCTTCATAAATGAAATCCAATGATCCACAATTATGACTTATGATTTACTTATAAAATTAGCCTATAGCGCCCTTTAATTTCGAACCGACATAGACAATATTACATGGGGGTAGCACAAAATTGATCGAAAAACATTTGATCGAATTGGAAATTTATCCGAAAATACATTTTGTCGAATAACATTTGATCAAAGATATATTTTATTGAATAACATGTTATCGAAAAGACAATATATTTAAAATTAATAAGATCCAAAGGACAATATATTAAAAATCAACATTAAAAATAGTAAAATTTTAAAAATCTAACGACACCATGCAACCCTTCGTCTAATCCCTATTACCAAGGAAAATAAACTCAGCGGCTATCGTCAAATTAGGTACTAATGGCAAATTTTTCAAAAGATAGCTGCTTCATTTAACAAATTTTATCCCTACAATATTGTTTTAAACAATTTAAAAATTAATATTTTCAGAGCTAAGTGAGAATATTTATAGTCATCGAGGTTAAAGCATTGTGTTTCAATTCGCTAAAAATATGCGTTGTAGTAAGGTCGAGTTGTCTCCCGATGGGACATTTTGGGTATTTTTTTTTTTTAAACACAAAACTTAACTAATTTACCTAACTTGTGCGGCCTGGAGCCGTCGCGGTTTGCGTCGCAAAAATATATGTTAAGTTTATTTATATGTTTATCGAAATTAGATCAGACTCATTTTCAATTATATTTAAACACGATAATTAAATTAAACTTATTTTATTGTCAGAATACAACTGGCGATTGCCGCTTATGGCCCACTCATACTACTCCTTACTCAGTATGTCTGGACCAAAACATTCACAGCGTTCGTTGGTCAGTGGCGCGGCGCGTAAATTTGAAAATATAAATTAAGAGCTAACGTATACAAAAATAAAAAAAACTTAACTGAAACCCCTAACTTGTGCGGCATGGGGTCCTCGAGGGTTGCTGTACAAAAAAATTAATAAAAAAATAAATACTTCCCCTCTTCAACGCCTAAATGGCAAGGGACAGAAAAAAAACTAAAAGCGGGTATGTCCGAAACGATTTCAAACTAGGGATGCGCACGATGTATCGATGTTTAAAAAACATCGATTTTTAGGTTTCGATTATCGATGTTTTTTCATTCGATGTTATTAGTTAACATCGAGGTTTTTTTATCCGATGTTATTTGTCAACATCGATTTTTCAATTAACATCAATGATTTTCTTTTCAATGTTTTTTTTTTGGTTTTTTGTTAAGCGTCACGTTTCAATTGATGGTTTGAAATCCCTTTTTCCTTTTATTTGCTCTTCAATGAACGCTTTTTGGAAAACATCGATGTTTACAGACACATCGATTTATGGAAAAACAAACATCGATATTTAGAAAAATCGATATTTTCTTTTCCGATTTTTTTTACAACATCGATAGTCTGTATTCAAAGTATCATTTGATGTCAACATAGATGTTTTAAAAAATTTGCGCATCCCTATTTCAAACCACCCAACTTCCCCGCCCCTACTTCAACCCTCCACACCAGGGAAGGTCGATATATTGAACCCCTAGACTTAGGAAAAGGAACTTCGGGTACGAAATATTGGACTTCGAGACGAAAAAAATTTCACCCCCTAAGGACAAGTCACTTCGCTCCCCTCTAAATGTAAGTGGTTAAGTGAAATCCCCCCTCCCTTCTCCCAAGAATTATCAACAATAATTTGTTACAAATAATAAGCACCTGATTTGAATCGTCTCAAAATAAAAATGAGGATATACAAGAATTAAAGTTTTGAAAGAGTAAAACCAAATTTGGTAGATTTTCACACTTTTATTTTAAAAATAAAAATTTTTAAACAAACACTAACATGACATATGTTTCGAAGTACTTCTTTTTCAAATGTGACTATTTACAATTCGGTATCCAATATATATACGAAATAATTTAACAAAACAAAGTACTTAAGAAAACATCAATAACATTACAAAATAAACTAACTATTTAAAGTAAATAAGGGTACTTAGGTAATTATAATATCCATCAAATAACAATAAGATAGCCCATTACCGGGATTATCTCACAGAAAACTGGGAAAGAGGTTTAATAAGGGTGAATTATTAATATCTAATTGATCATTTAGTAAGTTATCTGAATTTTTAAATCTATTTATTTCAAGTGTTTCTAAATGGTTTAATTTAAGGCTCTTATTTTCTACATGTAAAATTTCAAAGTTGTCTGTAAAAGAATGATTTTCAGCTAAAATATGATTTGAGTAAGTAGAATTATTTTTGTTTTTTGTATAGCTATTATAATGTTCGGAATAGCGTTTTTTGAAAGTACGGCCTGTTTGACCAATATACAATTTTGGACAACTACCACAATTTAATTTATATACCCCCGATTTATTATTAGGATTAATTTTACCCTTATTGTTTTTAATATACTTCCCAAGCGTATTATTGGTTTTAAAAGCTACGTTAATATTTTGGTTTTTTAAATATGATGATACCTTTTCACTAGGAGCTCCTATATATGTAAGACTCTTATATCTGCAATTTGGATCTTTAATTATGGGATAAACTTGTTGAATAGCCTGTTTAAAAAGTTTTTTCTCTAAAATGTTGTCTACTAACTTTGAATTAAAATTATTATTTACTGCGATTTGTTTAAATAATAAATAATAATTTTAATTCAAAGTTAGTAGACAACATTTTAGAGAAAAAACTTTTTAAACAGGCTATTCAACAAGTTTATCCCATAATTAAAGATCCAAATTGCAGATATAAGAGTCTTACATATATAGGAGCTCCTAGTGAAAAGGTATCATCATATTTAAAAAACCAAAATATTAACGTAGCTTTTAAAACCAATAATACGCTTGGGAAGTATATTAAAAACAATAAGGGTAAAATTAATCCTAATAATAAATCGGGGGTATATAAATTAAATTGTGGTAGTTGTCCAAAATTGTATATTGGTCAAACAGGCCGTACTTTCAAAAAACGCTATTCCGAACATTATAATAGCTATACAAAAAACAAAAATAATTCTACTTACTCAAATCATATTTTAGCTGAAAATCATTCTTTTACAGACAACTTTGAAATTTTACATGTAGAAAATAAGAGCCTTAAATTAAACCATTTAGAAACACTTGAAATAAATAGATTTAAAAATTCAGATAACTTACTAAATGATCAATTAGATATTAATAATTCACCCTTATTAAACCTCTTTCCCAGTTTTCTGTGAGATAATCCCGGTAATGGGCTATCTTATTGTTATTTGATGGATATTATAATTACCTAAGTACCCTTATTTACTTTAAATAGTTAGTTTATTTTGTAATGTTATTGATGTTTTCTTAAGTACTTTGTTTTGTTAAATTATTTCGTATATATATTGGATACCGAATTGTAAATAGTCACATTTGAAAAAGAAGTTGTACTTCGAAACATATGTCATGTTAGTGTTTGTTTAAAAATTTTTATTTTTAAAATAAAAGTGTGAAAATCTACCAAATTTGGTTTTACTCTTTCAAAATTAAATGGATTTTCATCAAGTAAAGGCCGAAACAATAAATAACAAGAATTAAAGAATGTAATTCCGCCTAATTACCATGAATGTTATGATATTCATTTTTGTTAAAGGACTTCTTAACCATATGTTTTTACATTTTACTATTTACAAAATAAAATATATGTTTCTAATTTTACCTGTCACAAGCTAGCACTTCAATTGAAAAATTGCATTACATAGCATACATTACAAACTTCTATCTCCATAAAAGTTAAGCCCTGTATAACATGTAACTCCAAATTGTAAACAAAAAACATTTATAACTGACTGTTTTTCAAAATGCATTACTGTAAAATTATTACGTATTTTCATTTTCGAGGATAGGGGAATTGCGGCTCGAGAACTGGTTTCAATAACTTTGAGGGAGGGAGTACTTATAAACAGGAGAAACTTGACGATAAATTAGTTCTCCTGAACGGAGCGATTACTCTTAATATTATGTAAACAGCACAGACCTTTTATAATTTGTTTATAGACAGTACCTCAATGTATAATTTTCGTAGCTGATTTCAGCGCCCTCACAGTGGCTTGGGATAAACTAAGCGATGGCGGCAATTTTTGAATAATTTTTTGGAAGCACGTTTTGAACGTGGATATTATGTGTGCCATAAAAGTTGAGATTTGATTACAATAAGCAAACAAATCGTAACTATAATGGCTTAATCATGTTTTGGTGCTACATTTTTTTATGAAATGAAACCATTTATTTATATTTATAACGATTTATTCATAAAATGTAAATTTCGGGTATTATTTTAAGTAAAACTAAAAATAGCCAAAAATAAGACAATAATAATAGGTACATGCAAAATATTAAGATAAAATAAAAAAGATTCAAGTGTTTTAATTTTTTTAGTTTTATGTTTTTTTCTTATTTCTTGTATTACAGGTATCTTGTGTTAGCAAGAAGACGTATTTTACCATTAAATTAATGTAACAACCTGGAACTCGGAACACAACTATTTACTTTACAATTATCACTGAAAGTTTATCCATTATCTGAAATGTAATGTGGTCACAATAATCCTTCCTCCATGTGGTCACTGGTCAATGTATGCTGAAACTAATCACGACACTACCTATTAAATAAACTTTATGCTGTGGTATTAATTTTGTGCTTTATTTCCATTTCACTATAGGGACCGTGCGTGAAATATAGAGGCAGCACTACTGCCGAAGTTAGCCCTCTCTAGTGTTTAATTTTAGAATTAAATGGGGTAAACATTGCAAGTAAATAATAAAGGATATTTTTTAAAATATTAAATATAGTTAAATATAGATACCGGCCCGTACCAAACAATCGAGTACATGGTCAAAATGATATAAAATGTAAAACATTATTAAAATCTGGACATGTATAGGGACCGTGCGTGAAATATAGAGGCAGCACTACTGCCGAAGTTAGCCCTCTCTAGTGTTTAATTTTAGAATTAAATGGGGTAAACATTGCAAGTAAATAATAAAGAATATTTTTTAAAATATTAAATATAGTTAAATATAGATACCGGCCCGTACCAAACAATCGGGTACATGGTCAAAATGATATAAAATGTAAAACATTATTAAAATCTGGACATGTATATACATTTTAAAAAAGATTTATAAGGCTAATTGACAATAAATTGTAAAGTTGTACCTTAAACAAGTGTATCCAATGTCAAAATATCGGTATTTAGTAACACTGAATTTAAAAGTATTACAATAACATTTAAAAAATGTAAATTAATAAAAAAGATTGGGAATAATAATAATTCTTTTTAGATTTATGTTAGTCGAAATGTCATTCATCCACTGACGTTTATGAGACGCCCAATGATATACATATTATAGATTGCTCACCCATCTATAAAAAAAATACGAAAAGCGGGTTGCAATGTGCCTTTCCTAGTGCTCACTAAAATAGAGCCGTTCTAGCCCAAATGTGTTTTAATATAAAATTTCAGTATTTTAATCTTTAGAAAAAGAAAATAATTAAAGTTTTACTTCAAGACACGTTATTATGTATTTGGAAAGTTGAGTTTCCATGTAGTTAAATAATATTAAGAGATCTAAACAATTTTTAAAACAGATGGATATAAATAATTTTAGACTACTCTCATTTCAGAAATTACACTACATAAAATACATAATTGCAATATGTAATACAATTTTGAAAAGGAAATGTAAACAACTTTGGTGAGAGTTATAATTGGACACATCTATTATTCTGAATAATGTTTAATGGTAATGTCACTAAAAATTTTTACAAAAATCACTGGATTTTTAATATTTTAAAGTTTGTTGCAGTCTCTTTTGATAGTACATTACGTATTATTTATGATTTGTTTATTTTAGTAATAAATGAGAAATAGTTAATAAATTGTAAAGAGGGCTATGATATTTTTGTCAAATTGGACATACTTATTTCATAGTAACATTCTACGTTAGTTTTAATCAACAGAATAAACCATTAATTATCTGTAAAATTATATTTATATAAAATGTTCATTTAAATATGAAAAAATCTTAATGACAATAAAACACTAAAGACTCTAATTTCTAAACCGGTTCTGTAAATGCTCAAGTGCTCAAAATTGATACAAAGCTAGATAAAAAAAACTTTGCCCAGTGAAATACGCTTTTCGTCATCTGATTTACATATGGATAAGCAATCTATGTAATGTAATTATGTATATCATTGGGCGTGAGACACAATTCTGCTCTGTGAAAAAGTTTTATCGATAATGATATTACGAAAATAATTCGACTTTATTTAATTAATAATTATTAAACAATAAATGCCATATAAAATATTAATAAATACCCCCCATAAAGTTCAAATTTTTTTCACCAGTTAGCGTTAAAGTCTTGACGCACGGTCCCTATATACATTTTATGCAAAAATATTTAAATGGCTAAGTGACAATAAATTGTAAAGTTGTACCTCAAACAAAAGTATCCAATGTCAAAATATCGGTATTTAGTAACACTGAATTTAAAAGTATTACAATAACATTTAAAAAATGTAAATTAATAAAAAAGATTGGGTATAATAATAATAATTCTTTTTAGCTTTATGGGCTTTATGTTAGTCGAAATGTCATTCATCCACTGACGTTTATGAGACGCCCAATGATATACATATTATAGATTGCTCACCCATCTATAAAAAAAATACTAAAAGCGGATTGCAATGTGCCTTTCCTAGTGCTCACTAAATAGAGCCGTTCTAGCCCAAATGTGTTTTAATATAAAATTTCAGCATTTTAATCTTTAGAAAAAGAAAATAATTAAAGTTTTACTTCAAGACACGTTATTATGTATTTGGAAAGTTGAGTTTCCATGTAGTTAAATAATATTAAGAGATCTAAACAATTTTTAAAACAGATGGATATAAATAATTTTAGACCACTCTCATTTCAGAAATAACACTACATAAAATACATAATTGCAATATGTAATACAATTTTATAAAGGAAATGTAAACAACTTTAATATGAGATATAAACAACTTTGGTAAGAGTTGTAATTGGACACATATATTATTCTGAATAATGTTTAATGGTAATGTCACTAAAAAAATTTACAAAAATGCAACAAGTTTTTTCGATAATGATATTACGAAAATAATTCGACTTTATTTAATTAATAATTATTAAACAATAAATGCCGTATAAAATATTAATAAATACCCCCCACAAAGTTCAAATTTTTGTCACCAGTTAGCGTTAAAGTCATGACGCACGGTCCCTATTGACTTTCTGCTTTATTTCTATTTTATTATTTACCAACCAATTCAAAAACAGAAACAAATCACTCACAAAATTCATAAAAATAATAAAGATATAAGAAATATTTGTGGTTATGTAGGTATCAGGTAGGCAGTGTTGTCACGGTCAAATGGTGATAATTCTCATCAATTACCCCGAACGCCTGATCACCAATAAACGCATTAGTGACGATAAAAATATTTTAAAACATGACTTTTCAGCAATAGTGCATACTACTAAATGAAAAACGCTATAATCAATTCATAAAAAGTTCATTGGTTGGTTAAGAATAGGTACTCGAAAATCATGTAAAATCCTTGCCATTGGCAACGCTGCACAAGCGTGTCCTATAAACGGTGACGGTGGCGACCACACGACTGCGGGGGGTTTGAAACTTAACACTCATTGACCTTGACGGTAAGAGTTGATACTAGGGATGTTGCGATACCAGTAAAGTATCGATACTGGTATCGAAAGAAGTATCGGAACCAAAGTATCGATACCGGTATCGAAAGGGTATCGGAACGAAAGTATCGATACCTATATCGGAAAGAGTACAGAATCAAAAAAAAAAAAAAAAAAAAAAAAAAAGGTCATAGGGTATACACCGACATATCATACCATAAAGTGATCCTACAATATACATTTTGTAGTAAAATTATTGAAACGAAAGTAGTAGTATCGAAATAAAAGTAGTACCCATATGAGTAAAGTATCGAAAGCAAAGTATCGGGTACTAAATTACCCGGTATCGAAAGAAAAGTATCGATACCAGTATCATATCAGTAGTATCGCAACATCCCTAGTTGATACACCGTGGTAAACAGTTAATGGAATTGGGAATGGAAAATGTATGAAATTAAAGAGACGTTTATTTACCCTAAAATATTCATATTATAACCTTATTTAAATACATTAAAATAATATTAAGTACACACCAAGTTAACGTTAACTATCACCTGATGCTCCGGCATTGACTATTGCTGCTAAGTCTTCAATTTGTTTAGATTCTTTCAATCGGTAACGAATAAGCTCTGCTATAGCTTTCTGTGTTTGTTTTTCCAATTTGCCTAATTTTTTAGCCACATCTCTTTTTAAATCCCAGTCAGGCTTTCTTGGAGCTAAAGCTGTTACATCTAATTGATTGATAACTACTGCAGATTTAGCAGATTCCAACTGAATTTGTACCTAAAAATAACTCCTATTTAATATTTCCTTCCCAATGATATGTTTTCGTTGTTTAACCTGATTTTGTTTAGTTTATGATTTAGAGGGCTGGGACAAAATTTACAAATATCCTCAAATATACTGGGTGTCCTGATATTCTAAAACGTTTGACAGATGGTATCTTTTACAAATATATGAAAAATGAAGTAGGAACATTTTTCTCTTAAGTTGAATGTAAATGACAAGTGACAGCGAGTTTTCTAACGTTTCTTGAATTAGGCAAAAATAAAAGACGTATTTTGCGTTTTAGGTATTAAATATTATAAAGAATATTGGAAATTCCAAAATTTGTTTTACTTTTAATAAATAAGTAATATTTAACAATGATTTAAAAGTTATTTACTTTGCAATTATTATTATAATATTTAAAACCTAAAATGTAAAATAAAGTCATTTATTTTTGCCTAATTACTTCAGGAAACATTTTAGATTAAAAAATGTACTGTCCATAAGATGCTGCCATGGACAGTCTGGATAGAAACTGAGTGGGAAAATTGCAGACGAATGTATCAACGGTTCATATGTTTGTTCTGAAAGTTTGACGTTTAAATCACAAACGTCAAACTTTGACATTTATTGTTTTAAACTTTATTTAAAAGATACAATGTACCTATGGTTTATATATTTTCCAAATTACTGTAGATCCAGAAAAGGTATGTTTTCGGTTTTAATTTTATTTTTATTATTTCCATTATTTGGCTAGTTTGCTTATATCATAAAATACAAATTCAGTAAATACCTACTTAATATAATTAAATTATAATATATTTAGCAAAATGAACTTTTAAATAGGACATTTAACTTAACTGCAATTGTAACAGTATTCACATGGACTGTGAATTTTATCCGTTTCCCAATCATTACCCCTAAATATTTGAATTTTTCTACTAACTGTAAATAATTTCCTTCAATTGAAATGCTATATTGTTTATCGACAATCTGCATATAAAGAGTAAAGCAATTCCCAATATTTTTATTAAATAAAATGAAAACCAAATTAGAAAAAAATGAAAGCTTTATAGCAATAGGTAACATAATTATACGTGAAGTACAATATTGAGCAAATGGCCACCGCAACTTCACTGGCAGGACACAACTCTTTTGTCAACATTTTCGATCACCGCTGAACACATTTCTGGTGGTGGGTCAATCTCATTTTGTAATTCTCGAATTGTATGGGGATTTACATAATGTTTTACTTTTGATCGGGATCTAGGCGGTCAATTAACATCTCCATTTCTTGATAGAAGTCTACCTTGAAATTCTTTGCAATAAGTTCAATGTTTTTTCTTGATGTCTTATTGGAACCATTTATTGTCAAGATCCTTATTATTCATTACTTCAGGCAATAAAGTCTCGAAATATCGTGCGGTAACGCTCACGTGAAGATAACCAGTGGCGGCTCGTGGGCACTAGCGGCAGTGGGCCACACATTGGAAAGGAATCTCGGGATTCGTTTTCCCCTTAGGAAAACAAGTGATCCGCTTAATGAAAATTAAATATATTTCAAAACAATCAGTTGGGGCAATAACGATTTCTGAATGTGACTACAGGGAGCTAAATGTGACCACTCAAAATGCATTTAACTATGTATGTGGCTATTTAATCAAAAAATCATTACATATCCACTCTTGCGAAATTTGCGTAAATTTCTCAGAATAATGCAATTTACTTAACAATTCTAACTTGTTAACGCATTTTAAAGCATACGACTCTGAAGAAAAGGTGTTTGGCAATTTAAAATCTTTCAGCGAAAAATTTCTCTTTTATATTTTCAAATTAGAAAAATATTTTTATATCTCTATTTGATAGTTTGTCAACTAAGCCTGGAATTTCCAACGTATACCTTTTTGAGATAAGCAAAATAGAATTTGGTCATCCTTGCCAACAATTTGCGAAAATGTACACCATTAAATTATTTATAAGACTCAGAATTTTTTATACTCTTAAATATGCAAACATAGATTTGAAATCCTCGAAAAAGTCAGACAAAACCAAAAGAAAAATTAAAGTTTTATCCCATTTATAAATATTATTGATTTTTTTTCATCATATTTTTGACTGCTTTATAAAAAAAAGTTATTTTTCTTTGTAGTTCTATTTCTTAACTATTCCAATGGTCCAACTAACGTTTTTTCGTAATCACAATAAATAAATTATTATCATGGTCCAACAAACGCGCACCTTTGTGAGGGAGCCGGTAAAGAAGCCTGGTTATCGACACTACAAAGGCAGTATTAAGGAGCCTCATAATACTCCAGTAAAAGTGTCAAATACTGAAGAATAATATATGCATATGTGTACCCCTAAAATTTAAGTTTAAATCTAAGTAAGCAATTGAATTTTATCAAAAACATGTGTTTTAGAATGCAAAGATACCTTATACAAAATTTTATTCACATATCTTAACTATTTAAACATCAACAACCTATTGTATACTGTACTTACCGAGGCGCGAACCAATCTTTGCAAAAATGTACATGTATTGCCGAATTCATATGATTTCCGCAATCATATGGCGATTTCTGGATGACTGCGGTGATTTCCACATAATTTCGACAGATTTCTAGTTACTGATTTGCACATGAATTTGATCTTTCTCGTGACTGCGCTTATTTATGTATTGACTGCGGCGATTTCCGTATTGATTGCAGCGATTTAAGTATTGATTGCGGCGATTTAAGTATTGATTGCGGCGATTTCAGTATGGTTTGCCAGTATTTTTTCAAAATTGCAAACATTTTCGAAGGATTTCTATACGACAATATATGGCTTTCCAGTTAATTTCCAGTAAAAAAACCATTAGCTGGATAATGTATTAGGAAAACTAAATTTTATATAGAATATGTATGAATCATACAAGAAAAAGAAAAACTAAATTTTGTATGAGACGTGAATAAAACGTGAACATTGTTTTATTGAATTAACTTTTAATACGCTGGTTCAGTGATGTAATTATGGTTCCACTGACAATTAAAATGATAGTAGATTTTTTGAGTGCGTTTTGTTCGTTTTGTTTACCTAAATTATATCGTTTTTTCACTTTTATAAATATATTCCTAAAGTAAGTAGATAACATGAATCAAATACACAATCGTTTAGTTACCAATTACATACCTTTAAACTATTTTTTATGACATGTAAACAATATTTAGAAATAAACTAAAAACAGTAAAAACGTATATGTCAAATTTATTGATGTTTTTGTTAAAAGTTTGGTTAGAATTAAATGTTAGTGGAACCAAAATGACATCACACCGAACTAGCCTATAGTTTTAATGAGTGACAATTCTGACAAAATAATTATCAGTATATTTTTTAGTTATTGAGATTAAAATTAATTAAAAATAAATTATTCTTGTGAAGAATCGATAAATACTGGCATTTCATAAGCTATTTGTGTATATTTACAAATATATAGTAAATTTTAATAAAACTATTTATAACAAATATACTTAATTGTCCAGGGTTCAAATTCAGGAAGAATTCTAATTTATTTTTAAAGTATATTTTATTTAATAAATAAAAATCATCAATTATATTTAAAATTTTATCTTAATAATCACTAAATTAAGTTTTAAAATTTTGGTTAGTGGGTCTTAGAAAAAATATACTGAACAACTTGAGTGGTTTGTCCGTATCGCATATATGGTCTTCATATCCACTCTTGTTACACAAACTACTCTTGTGAATTACTTCTTATAAACTCTTTATTTAAACATACCCCCTAAATTAAATAAAGCTAATCATTCCTTTATGATGTATTTTTTATCCATGTAATGTTTTGTGTAATATTTTTCCAAAACAAAACTATTTTCACTTTTTTACATACAAATCTGATATGTCCAACACATGACTTTCCTATCTAGTTGTTACAAGCTTTTGCAGTTATTTTGTCCAACCTATTGTATCACGTTTTTGAGTTGGAGTCATCTCCAAATTCGAATTCGCACTTTTCCTCAAATATCTCGAATATGGTCCATTTTAGGGAAATCACGTATAGAACAAATACTATAGAGAATTACATCACAAGCAACTTTTATTTGAACAATTTTCTTAAAAATTCGAATTTTGCACTTTTTGTCAAATTTCTCGATTACAGACCATTTTAGAAAAATGTTGTATGGAATAAAATTTATAGAAAATAATATATCACAAACTTTTATTTAAAGAATTTTCTTTTCCAAGAAATGTTCCGATTATGCCCAAAATCTAATCAACTCATTAAAGGATGGATTAAAGCTTAAGTTTAAAATTTTGTGTTTTTCTCTTGATCCGTAAATGATAAACTGTGTCAAAACTGGCATTTTTAAATTCATAATTGATGGCAATGGGCCTTGTGGAATGACAGTTTCAATAAACGTAAACTGCAATTTGTTTAATTTTACACAAAATGGCTTAGTCAAATCACCTATATTGACAATGGTGAATAGGTGAAATGTCAACTGACTGCGATTTTTAATGATTGCTCAACAACTGCGAGATAATTTGGGGGACTGAGAGGGAATTCGGAACAACTGCGACGATTTCTGAGCAATTGCCACTGATTTTGATGGAACTGCGGCGATTTTCAATGGCATTGCGGATATTTTTTACATGTATTACGGGAGTCTCCCGGTACTTACCTCAACAAATTTCTTGGAAAAAAAAAACCGAAATTCATGTGCACGACACAATGTGTCATTTTTTTCCACTCAACCCGGCGTTGGTACACCTAGTTTTCCTAAATGGGATGATACATTGAGGTTTGACATACCCATCCACTATTTTGTGCATTTTCTTGAAAGTAAATATAAAACTACCTGTTAAATGTATATTTTTTTATTATTAGACATTTCTAAATTTAAAAATAGTATACGATAGTTATTAGGGGGTCACACAATTTAGTAATGCATTATTATGTAAGGAAAGCAGATTTTAGTGGAATAAAAAAACTTCCTTCAATGAAACAGCATTAAAATAAAAAACAAGGCTTAACAAACTTAAATTTTACTTTTGTATTGAAAAATGAATATCAAAGAATGTAAAAACACTAACAAACATAAAATAAAAATATCCTTAGAGGCAAATGCAGATGCTCACTTTTATGAAAATTAAATTCATGAGAAACATTTACCCTAAGCTCTAATTTTTTATATAAACAGCCTAATCTGTTTTGTATAAATTGCATTCATCACATGTTAGGTTAGCATGAGTCAGGCAAACAAATTAAGGAGCAGTTTTTACTGTATGCAGATGATTTAAAATTATACAAGCGTGTGACAAGTATTGGTGACTGTGAACAACTTCACATGAACTTAAACCTAGTGGTTGAATGGTGTAATAATAATAATAATAATAATAATAATAATAATAAACTTTAACTTAATCCAATTAAATGTAAAGATATGTCTTTTTCTTTAAAAACCGACCAAATAAAGTATAATTATTTAATAGATAATATCTCACTTCAGCGACCAGATACTTTTACAGATCTTGGGGTAATTTTTGATCCCAGATCGACCTTTATATGTCACATAGATAAAATGATTGAAAAATCGTATCGTATGTATGGTTTTATAACTCGCTGCACCAGGGATTTCAAAGATGTAGCCACATTAAAAACGTTATATTACTCTCTTATAAGATGCGTCTGTCGTCTGGAGTCCATTTTACCAACTTCACACGGATCGAATTGAAGCAGTTCAAAGGCGGTTTCTAAAATTACTGTGTTTAAAGGAGGACGGTGTTTATCCGCCAATCGGAATACCAAACCAAAATTTTCTTCAAAGATATCACTTTTTAAGCCTCATAAAAAGACGTGAATACCATTGTTATGTGTTAGGTTTCAAAATTGTTAACGGTTTAATTGATTCTCCTGAACTGTTGAGAAAAATTGATATCTGCATTCCGAGAGTATCCTCTAGAAATTATAACATATTTCACATATCTGTACCTCGCACAAATGTTCTGAAAAATTCTCCATTTCATACTATTAGCCGCGTTGTGAATAGTGTGAGTAGTGACATTGATATCTTCTCATGCAAACTCAGGGAAATAAAATGTCATTCCCTAACATAAAAAAAAAAATGTACTGTATTGTATTTTACCTACTAGCTGTTTACTAATTTTTGTATATTTTGTACCACTTAGTCTATATAATGTATGTGTTCTTTTATTCCTGCTCTGTAATTGGGATTGCCTGTAGAGCATTGTAATAAATAAATAAATAATTCTTTACATAATTTACAGGTATAAAATGATTTTATGTTCAAGCCTCTTGGACAAATCTCCAATCTTGTTTTTTGCTGAGGTCTCGCTAGAGTAAATCCCAACTCTTTTAAACATTTTCTTCTAAGCTTAGGATTATTACTATTGAAAATAACCATCGCATTAATATGAACTGAATTATGACAGAAAAAAAGAGGGTCAGTGGCCATTTTTTTGTTGTTTCTTGAGACACTATAATGTACCTGTTCAATAAATAATTTTATCAGGTGACTAGTACACTGGGGTATCACATGCCCAGCACCTCTTAGTGTGATTCTACAACAGACTAATTAAATTTAATAGCTATTTGTGTGGGGTACCTTGTGTTAGCCACATATCTAGTTTGAAGGTAGGTAGGTAAGCTGGAACTGTGCACAGATTATGAATATTGCTCATTTTATCCCATATCTGCGGGAGTACTGTTTATAACATGAAGTACATAACTTACTAAATTGAAAACTGACAGTTCATCACTATTCCACTACCCCACCCTATTACTTGTTATACATTCCAGGAATTGGGAACCTATCAATAAGTAATGTTTACCTGAACCCACACTATACTTTGAGTAGAAATCATGTATATCTGTGATCCTATGTAGTACCTACACAACGATTTATGTAAAAGTGTCTTGCAGTCAAATATGGTACACATAGTTTAAATGAAAATCTCACTTTGCCCAAATATGGTACACATGGGGGCTAAAGTGTTAAAGTGTCAATTTGGTACACTTTCGATTACTGGTGCTCTTACTTTATTTAGGTGCCTAAACAAATTTACTTTTTCCTATATTTAGAAAATTAGTACATAACCCTGGCCACTATATAACGATTGCGATTGTTAGACCGAGCTGTAGCATAAGTTACAAGATTACAATATTGTTAACTGTTTTCAGTTTGTTTTGGACATAGGACAGTGTGCTTCAATTTAATTGTTTTTTTTTTCCTAAAACAAACTACAAAGAGGAACTCTGACCTATGACCAATATAGAATTTTGTGCTTCTTAATAAAGCAGGGACTAAGTACATTAATTTTCATAAATTACTGTAAAAATTTCGTAATCAGCATGTAAATAAATCAGATAATCCAATAGGACAGTCCATTAGAGATTGGACTCCCTAGACTTCAAACTCAGTTTGCCTCAACAGAAAATCAAGTCATTGTTCAAAATTTACTTCTTGTAATCGTAAGGGGTTACATGAATACTGGCACATCAGAATGGTAGAAGACTTACAGTCAAACCACAAGTGAAGTGTGCTTCCGATATGCAGAGATTTACTTAAAATTTCTTACCTGAGAAGCAACATTTTCAGGTTCCGCAGGATTTAACATAAAGTTTTCTAACTTTTCATTTAATGGTTTATAGCTTCTAAATTGTGGCTTGGGTAAGACACATTTTCCTTCTTCATTGTCCTTTTCTCCTTGTGTATTAGTGTCTTCTCGTTTTCTTTTCAAGTTTTTTAATCTCTCTCGTCTCTTAAAAGCTTCGTCTTCCAGATGACCAACGTTTGATTTAGATTCTGTCATTTTAAAAAATATACCAAAACCAAACAAAAATCTAAGAAAACAATGTATGTAAGGGGCGTGATAGGTTAGATTATTCTTCTTTTTTATGTCAAAATTATAGATAAATTAATAAAGAAGATAGTAAGTTCCCGTGTTAATTTTTGGAAACAAACAGTGCTGCGAATTAGTATGGAACGGATTTTTTTGGAACTACACTGGCTGATTGGCTTGCCAGTTAGAGGTCGAATAAGAAAGAGAAGAATAAAAAAAGAAGAGCTTTAAGCGAACCGCGGTTCATTCAAATATAATTTATTTATTTACATTTTTTTGGCATTCATTACTCTAAAAAAACTAATATTTATATCAAAATAATGCATTTAACATAAATATTAGTTTTATTTCGTAATAAAACCCCAAAAAATATAAACAAAAAATATAAACAAAAAATATTTACATTAAAATAAAATATTTGAAACATATATTTTAATTACTTATTATACAGTAATACATACATACATGAGCTCAATAGTAAATAACAATTGTAAGTAAAATGAATAGTAGGTAGTCTCCCCAATTCTTGGAAAAATGGACCAATTTTGTTGGGTGTCCCATGTTTCCTATAAAAACAAAACAAAAAGTGTACATATGTCTTACTGAACAATTTCTCTTATCAAATATTAATAAAATACAACTTTTCTCTTTAGGACTTAAATTTCCGACTACTTTTATTTATTTATTGTTTTTCTTCGTTTCAAGGGTCGTTCAAATTGTTCATCACTAATTATTAAGTTTGCAACTAATTTCTTGTTTTTCTTATGCTGCTATATTTGTGCTTCGGCCTCAACTTATTCTAAAATCTAATTCTCAGGTTGTATATTGGAACTGAATACTGGATGCACAATTATCTAATGAAATTGGTACAGAATGTCCAGCTAACAGTTTACGTTTTGATGAAACACTACTAAAAGACTCAGGCAAAAATGGTCCGCACAAAGATAGCGAGTATTATTATCTAAAGTTAAATTTAAAGTCTCAAACCAGTTCTGGCAAATTTTAATATGGGAAGGAAAATGAAAAAGGTTTAATATTTGATAATCCAACTTTCTGAATTTTAAAATAATACTTATTTAAACAATTAGGAGCTGAACAAGAATACTCTCGAAAATACTTGACTATATCCGGTACCCGGGCCAGACATTTCTTGTTTCAAATATAAAAACAGAATTGAAAATCTATGAAATATGAAATTATATAAGGTTAAGAAAACAATGATAAACAAAGTCCTTAAATAAATCTACACACCTTTAATATTAAATTAAATTGCTAATACTTACAAATTACATCAAATCAACACTGTTTATCTTCTTAACCCGTAACCGGTGAGGTGCAATTTCAGTTACATTAAGCGTGATGTGGAGTCACACAGACTCCTTTAAAAAAAAATAATATTAAAAGAAATAAATATTGTAATGAATAAATTTCACTGAAATAAGTTACAACTAGATGAGTTTTAGTGGCTCATATATGATTTTTTCATTAAAAAAAAATATTAAAGTATGTTTTTGTTTTTATACTGTAGTATTGAAATTTCTCATTATTAGAACAAGCTTCCACAATTTCATCAATTAAAAAAAAAATATATTTTTTTTAGAAGTTTACAATATTAGGTGGGACTAAGGGAATACTAATCATTAATTTTTATGCAAAAAATAAACATATTTATTCAGTACAAAAATTCTGACAACAGGTGAACTACACTAATTTCAAACAACATATATTTTAGATACTCCTATTTTGAAGCACATTGTGTGCATATTTTCTTGCTGCATGATAAACATATAGGCTTCTTACAATCACAGCATAAGTAAAATGTCTTTCTATGAAGTTTGGATGGGCATAAATAACAATACTTCCGAACCTCTAATTTTTCTTCGGCTTCAAATGGTACTGGTTCTTCGAGTGCAAGTATTCTTTTTATTGAGTTTCTTATGTCCAAGTTAATTCTAGGATTTTCAAAACGTCTCCTCATAAAAGGTTCTGTCAGGCTTTTCGCTAGTGCCTTCATGAATTTGATTCGGGATGTATTTTCGTTATTCTTGAAACAATTGTGCATGACAAATGCGTTGACACAACTCATGTCTAATATTTGGTAAAAAATAGCCATTGGCCAACGTCTAGTTCTCCTTGAAGAGCTGTAAATGGTGCATTTCTCATCTAGTGCATCGACGCCTCCTTTTGTTGAATTATAAAATGATATTATTTCGGGTTTATTACTTTCAACATCCGTAGAACGAGAGTGATGCATAGAAGAAATGAGGATTACAGCTTTATTTTTCTTAGGAATATAGGAAACCAGCGTTTCATGTTTTGAAAATCCATATAATGCAGAACCAACTTGTTTTTGTCTGCTTGCCTTAAATTCTGGTGGTATTTCTCTTTTGGATTTTCTCATTGTTCCAACATAGGTAAGGCCTCTGGATTGTAGCTCTTTCACCAACTGAAGAGACGAAAACCAGTTATCCGCAGTAATGTTCCTATTAGTGCCAAAAAGAGGTTTTGAGAGACGAATTACGGATTGTGTGGGTTTGGTCAAATTTTTCTCTGCATTCGAAAGACCAATTCCATCCGAACCTTTTCCTGTATAAATATAGCTATTATAGGCAAATTGAGTCTTAGCATCAGTTAACAACATAAGCTTTATGCCATATTTTCGTGGCTTGTTCGGAATGTACATTCGGAACTTGCACCGGCCCCTAAATCCGATTAACATCTCATCAATGCATGCATTTTTCCCAATGGTAAATACATTTTGACAATTTTCAAAAAACATTTCAAAAATGTTATGAATATGAGCCGCTGGTTGTTCTTTCAGCCTTTCTTTCCTAGTTGTGGTATCATCAAACCTCAAGCAATTGATCAAAACACTAAATCTTTTTCCGCTCATAATAGTTCTAAAAATCTCTCTTCCGGTTCCATCTGCAGTAAACATGGCATCAATATCTTCATCATTAGACTTGTAGATCGCGGTATATATTAGTAAGCCCATCAAAGCTCTTATTTCAATACTATCCGTATTTTTCAAATCTGTTCGCGTCTCTTCAGCATAACGTGTTCGAATTTCTGCAATCTTTATATTTGTATACTGCACTATAGTATTTATCATAGCTTCTGAGATGAGAAGGTTCCATATATCTTCAGGATTGGCTCTATCTCCTAGAGTACGAGCAGGACCTTTTAATCCTGGTAAGGTTACAACTATATTATGTTGTGGAGTTCGTACATTCCTTACAGGTTCGTTTACTGCCCACTTTTGTCGATCTTTCCCATAAAAATACTTTTTTTCAATTCCATTATCATTGTCTTGGTCTGCTTCTTCCGAGGCTTCTTCATCAATATTTTCATCATTTGACAAAGATTGTTCATCATCATCACCACTTTCACTTGAAAGTCGATATTCGTGTTCTTCAAGATCATCTCCGTCTTCCATATCAGATCCTTCCGATCCTTCTTCATTATGCCATCTTAAAATGGTACTTTCAAAATTACTGTCCAATGGATGAACAGTTTTCGATGTACCAGGACGTAAATCCATCTAAAAATAACAAGTTTTACACAAAAATTTCAAATTTTATCACAATTAAAAAACTTACCTTAACGGTGAGGTGGAGTCACAGAGACTCTGATTTCTAATTTAAACGTGTTTACAGTACCGTAGCTCGATGAACACTGAATACCAATAACTACTAATGCAATGATACATCCAGCACTCACTTTGGTTATGGGACTAAAAAGAACCAATTAGAACGGGATACGTCACGACTGTGGGCGGGATCGATTGACAATTAACACGTAGCAGTTAGATTTTTTAACCTAACATTTTTGTTTGTTAGTTTGTGCCAGTTTTTGTTTTGGTTTTGCCGAAATAATGGATATCGCGCCACTACCCTCTTTGAATGATGAATTTAATGTAAGTACAACATTTTTGCACCTTGTTTCTCTAAGACGAAAATTAAGCCTTTCAAGTAAAAGTTCATATTTGTTTTCTTTTGTATAACTAGTAATTAAATATTTTTGCTGAGAAAATTGGTACCTACATGTATGTTCATAAACATAAAGTACAAACAAACTGCTAGGATTTTTGTGTAATTAAATCTTTATTTTTCAGTCAGTTTTTCCACCTGGTTGGGGAACAACAATTATTGGTAAAAAAATAGTAGAGGGTGAAGATAAGTTCCCGAATGTAGAATTGCATTTTTTCATCAATTGCACCAATGAAGAGGAGTTTGGAAAGTGGTTGATGGAGTTTGAAAATTCAACAAGTTCATCATACGTTATCGCCTGTACAGACGTTGAGAATGGAGCTAAATTGAAACTGAAAAGAAGACTAAGGTAATAAAGGTTTTATTATTAATAAAACCTTTGGAAAACACAGATTTTACAGGTTACAAAAATTAGGTAGTAAATTAATGTAATAAATATCACATTTGTTTATGCTCTTATTTATAATGTAGGTTATATTATTTATTACATGTAGGTTTATTACAGTTTATTATTATGTTACCTGGAAAATTTAATTTTAGGTGTCATCATTCTACACGGTGCACTAAAACCTACAACCCGTCCTTAAAAAACAAAACTAGAAACACCAATTGTCCTTCGAAAATAACTGTAAAGATACATGTTATTAGAAAAAAGTATAGGGGCAAGAAAGAAAATTTCCAACTCTTACAAGAGGCGCCTTGTGAGGTTAAACTTATTTTAACACACAACCATATGACCAATACTGCAGATTCTTTACGGTTTCGTAAAGTTTCTAAGAATGTAAGAGAAGAGTTACTAAGTCTTTATAAGAATGGCCATACAGCAGGAACAGCTTTGGAGATGATTAAATGTAACATTCAGCTTACCAGGGATGATTATGTGACAGCTTTGGCAGACCGTAATATATGTCCAAGCTATAAATACTGTTATGATCTATATATGAAAGAGTTTAAAGAAAATTATGGACCTATGAAATTTGATACAGAGGCGAAAATGTTTTTAGAAAATAATCTTACACTGTACAATGCTGAAAAAAAAGACAAATGTGCAAAAATGGTTACAATTGGAGAAGGAAATGTAGATTAC